CAGACGTTAACAGTGTGAAACCATTTTGATCGTCTGCGGTTTACTCAAGAATACCAACAATGGACAATAGATGATTGGACATCAGTCATATTTACAGATGAAAAAAATGTTTTGCTCGGACTCCAGCGCGCATGTGTGGGTGCGTCGCCAACCATCTACCAGGTATAATGATTCACAATGTGAAAATATTCATTAAAAATACCAATTTAAGAAATATGAAATAACTACATTTATAATCATTGCTTACTGACCAGCTATTTTCGGACAATCTCTTTGAAAGCGACATTCCTCTTAACCTGAATAGCACCACGCTTCTTCGCTCGCGCATATTGGACAATGTAGGTTTTTAAAGCAGTAGAAAACAAATAAATACCTTGTCTTTTACGCGAGTAAATACGATAATTCGATTGTTTTTCTTAACATCGACTGATTCAGTCGAGACTGGTGAGGCAAGAAGAGGAGGAAGATATAAAGTTGAATAAAAGAAGTTAGAACGAAGGAGAAATAAAGTTAGATAGGATAGAAGGAAAGTAGTAACTTGGGGTCACGGGACCCATGGGAGCCCTGCATCGCATTTATTTAAAAACATAAAAACAGTTACATACATGTAGACAGACAAAACAAAGATTACAAACCAACAGTGGCGCGACAAAAGGTGTAAAATTACATAGAAGCCAGTAGAGTTACATGGATATGACAACAATACACATGGAACAATAGACAAAATATATTGGTACAGAGTTAAAATAAAACTAGCAGAGACAATATAGGTGCAACGGTTGCGTACATAGAAGCACGTGGAGAACAGGCAAGATGGTGAGCAGGACGTAAATAATACAAAAGGACAACAAAAAATGTTACAAAATTACATCGATAGTATAGAATTACAATTAAACCGGAACCGACAAAGAGACCGTACGGAAGGAGAGACCAGAGTTGTTATGCTTCGTATTCGAATTTCCGAGAGATTTCATTTTTAGTCCTATGAAGTAATGGGCATTCCCTACTCATACAGTTGTGATCAGTCCTGTCCGCTTTCGCTTTGACACAGTTAATGCATTTTGGTGGTTCCTCGGTGTAGGCACAATCGGCACGCAAGTGGTCGCTACCGCAGTGGTTACAAATAGGGTGCTGCTCTGGACAAGTGTTAGCCCGGTGTCCGAAGGCGAGACAATTAAAACACTGGGTTATCGGTATAAAATCATAAACTGGGCACCTATTCCACTTAATGTTAATTCTCTTTTCCTCATGAATTATTTTCCTGAGACTTGGCGATACCACTATGACCCAGATGTAGTCGGGGTTTCTCTGCTTAAGTGGAAATTTGACTTTAGCGTTTTGATGGAATTCTCTCTCGTTGTAGTTAGTTTTAAGCTTCTCGGTTTGTTGGTAGGAAAACTGTAATATTTCATTTTCATTAATTTCTTTTGGGACATTTGCTATTTTAACCAGTGGAAGATACTTTTCAGCCATTCTAGAACCAATGTGCTTTAATTTCGAAATCTCGGCGTCAAGAAGTTCCGCATGTTGTTTCACTGGACAATCAACCGCAATACCGCCTTTTATATCTCTGACACTCTTGATGCCTATTCCTAAAGTTTCAGGTTTAATTTTCTTCATCAATTTCTTTCTAGCATAATCAGAAGGTAGCGATTTGTCATCATTGTACACTAATACGGTATAGCATGGGAGGGGAGGAGTAACAGTAGGCTGAGAAGAGGTTGTACCTTGTTTTAGAACATCACTGTAAGAAAAGGTTAAAGTCTTATCTTTTTTAAGCTTATCACTGGTGATTGTTTTCTCCAACTTGCTAATGCTCGTTTTAACCTCTGTAGGGGAATTAGTCACCTCTTCACATTGCTTATCTCTAAGTTTAATGATATCTTCTTTCGTGGCTAGGGAATTTAGCCGTTTTTCCAGATTAGCCGAGATTTTATTACACTCAATCGCGATTTCCGCAAGATTAATAACTTTCGTGAATCGCTCAGTGACATACCTAATAGAGTTTATTTTGAAGATAGCTTTCCGTTAGGATTGGAGGCAAAATACCCCTTGATTTCATCAACGGCCCTGAAGGCCTCCAAGAATTTATCCCTATTTTTCGAGCCCATCAGAACTTGTAAATTAAACCGGAGAAGTAGAGAAACCAGATGCCACAGCTTTTAAAGTTTATTAATAATTAAGAAACATTACAAATACATCAGCAAGCTGGTGTTTGAGGCATATAACAGTTACAATGACAGAAATAACATGGCCCATAATATCCTTGATAGAATAAATACATATATATACAGGTTAATACAGAGGTGGATATTATGGGTCTCACATACATGATAGTAAGGTTATTACAGTAGCACCGTGAAGGTGTGCGACAGCGATCAGAGTCACCATTGGGTGCATCATAAAATTGATAAGCAAAAGTTTCCGAGAGCATTGATATTAACATGAGTAAAGACACGCATTAACAATTAGGGAGGTTGTTGCGTACACTAGGAGGCTGTTCTTACATGTGTGACATAAAGTGTTGCCATGGTTAAGTCCAATCTTCGTTGAAGATGTACTTGTTGTTGATTTTCTTTCATATGACGTCTATTGTCCCATGGTATAATTGTGTGAAGTCTTTATCGGAGGAAGCTCACTATCCTTTTGGATTTTGAGGCTAGCTTCTTCCTTAATCTTGTTTATACATATGGTCGAGTTCCATTTTTTGTTATCAAAGTGGAGGGCGCACCTTGCCTTCCAAATGATTCTTTTGACTAATGCAACCATCCAATTTAGGCAATAACTGTTATAAGTGGTTCTGGGAAAGTTAGCGTGGTACATTATATTACTCCAATTGATGTCGATATTAAAGATCTTTTTGAGCCAGTTCCAAGTACGTTAGGCTGTGGAGCATTCGACGAAGAGATGGAAAGTATTCTCGTCTTTGGTACAACGTGGACATCTGGCGCTACTAAGTAGATGGTGTCTGTGTAGGTAGTCTTTAGTCATTGTTATGTTGTTAATAATGCGCCATGTCGTTTCTTTCCATTTCGCTGAAAGTCTGTTCACATTTATCCTGCACTCACTCCAGTCTATTGTGCTATCATCCAAATTTGGATTGGGGCGATGTGGGTAAATATTACTGTAAATTGTGCCAGGTTTTATCCTGTCATAGGAGATGTTGGCATCAAGGAGGCATTTGATCATTGATCTCCATTGGCTGTATTGTTTGATGTTATCAATCAGGAACGGTTTATTAGCGGAATCGTTGGTGATACGTTTAGTGATCGGGCCCAGAATATAAGTTGCTAGGTCGCCTAGAGGATGCTGTTTCTAATGGATAGAGTTGATCAGGTTTGATAACTGTAATGATTGTTCCAGCGTTTTTACGTCCCAGATCCTCCATCTTCCGTGGTTGATGTCGTTCTTCATTATGCTCCTATTTAGAGGTTCGTAATCCTTCTGCCAAATATATCTAAAGATGATTTTCTTAATCGTTCTTGCGTCTTTTTTGTTCAGGCTGGTGGTATAAAGGATGTATATAATTTTGGCAAATAAGACTTTATTCGCGATAATTGCACGTTCGGGCATATATAGCCATATTTTTTCCCATTATTCTATGGCTTCTTTTATTTTCCTTGTCATTTTCTTCATATTTTTTTGTGCTTTTGTCTTTTCCGTACCATATTCCTAATATTTTCTTGTTGTTAACTGCTTTAAAAGTCAAACTTTCCATGTCGCTATGGCCGAAGATGTTGATGATATTGCTTTTATTTATATTGATTTTCATGCCCGTGGTGGTACAGAACGTGTTGATTGCCATGGTTATTCTGTTTAATGCGACGTTATCATTGATAAAGAAATTTATATCGTCGGCGTGTGCTACATATTTTATCTTCTTGCACATGCCCAGTATGTGGATAGGTGTTATCAAGTTGTCATCGTTGACCATATTTAGTAGAGCCTCAATATAGATTGTGAAAAGAACCATCGAGCAAGGGCAGCCTTGCCTAACTCCTGCTTCGCAGTCAATATAGTCAGAATTTTTTACATTAATCACAATTTTGGTTTTGGGTTGTAGATATAAGTATTTAATCTTGATTTTCTTCCTCCGGACAATACATGCCAGAGAACAGCCCGACGCAACAGGCCACAGGACCAAGTCAGGAAGTAGCAGTTAAGCAGGTGCCTGAACAGAGTAGTAGAAAATTCGCTCAAAAATGAATAAAGACAGTACTTACGAGGTATCCTGTTTGTAATAAGTTGTAGATAGTCCACAATAGTAGTCCTAGGTGATGAGGATGACAGTAATCCGCAATGCTGCAGAAGGAAGCAGATGAGAACTTGAGGACACCAACAGTCCCAATGGCAGCTGTCTATAAGGTGGTGGAACACCGGCAGAGCAGAGACTTGACTTGTATCCAAGTCAAGCCTGACAGTACACTTGTCAGGTCAGCTCAGATTGCAAAGTGTTGGCAATGGCACCAACCAACTCTAACAATCTGAGTAGATGGGAGAGGACTGGTCTCTTGATAGCGGGTCGCCCCAACTAACCAAGAACAGACGAGGGTGCCAGACACAACACAACACTAACACAAGACACATGGGTCGCCCCAACTAACCAAGAACAGACGAGGGTGCCAGACACAACACAACACTAACACAAGACACAACACTTACGCAATCACCAGACGTAAACACAGGTATCCAAACAGTAATCCAAGATGGCTGAAGAAGAACATGGCTGACACTTACTTCCCAAAATGCCTCTCGCTGGAAATCCAAAATAGTCGCTCCTGCTGTAGTTTTACTCCAAGTGGTGGGGAAGCCAAGATGGTGGGGCTCAAAAAGCACACTCTAACAGAATTAAAGTTGCACGAAAAGTTAGGCTTACCAAAGCTAAGCCTAGCACTACAGTTAGGACTAAATTAGCCCTAACTCCCTATTCCAAAGCACTGAGCTACTCTAGTTAAGCCTAAAAGTAGAAGAAGCCAACAACTATGCCCAATGAAGTGAATATGGCACTCAGATCGCTTGCAAACGAATTCATAACCAAATTTCGAGACAAAATTTACAAAATGACTGTCAAACGGAACATACAACTTGCTGCTCGTACCACTTTCTTGGAATTTGCTAACGAATTATTCAGCGATGGAATTACTTGGTATAAAATCGTGAAATTATTTGCGTTTACTACTGAAATGGCTTTCATTTGCTACAGAATAAATAAGACAGAAATGAACGACAACATAGCAGAATCGTTGAGCTCCTATATTGAAATTAAATTACTAACATGGATACGCAATAGTGATGATTGGAACGGTCTGGTGGCTTATTTTGAAAACAGACACAATAACGTATAAGTATTAAAATATTAAATCATAATAAATATGTTTTGTATTTAAATTAAAGTAAAAAAAAAATACAAAAATATTTTATATTCAATATTTTATTTTTTTAAGGTGAAAGAAAAGTTTGTATTTTTTTAATAAGTTCTGTTTTTTTTTATAAATTATTATAGTTGTGAGATACATTGGATCAATAAAAGGTTACTTTACTAAAAACTTGAATGGTTTAAGTCATTTCGTATTGATAAACTACACTATTGTTGGTCAGAAATAACGAAATGGTCTATTCGAGAATGAGGCCTGCGTCCTTAATACTAAATTAGACTTATCGACTGACACGTTAAAAAAAAGGCCTTCAATAAAACACGATTTTCTAACGACAGCACTTCGCATTTTTTTTTTTTTTTTGTTTTTCAGACAATTCCGAACAAACAAATAAATTTCCTTTGCTGCTATTAACGCCTGCACCTAATTTCAAGGGTGGAAGAACTGCCCGAGGTGGGTTTGAACGAGTTTAGACCATAAGTGGCAATTTAATGGTTGTATTGAAGGGCACGTCATTAAGGGAGGGGAAACAGAGAGCATTAACGCTTAACCACAAAAACAGCTTTCGAAATTGATTCCCATACTTTCTCTTGAATTGATAATATTTCATACATTATCTATACTAATATTATAAAGAGGTAATGTTTGTAAGTAAGTAAGTTTGGATGTAGCAGGTAATCCCCGAAACTATTTATCCGATTTCAAAAATTCTTTCACCAATATTTAGAATGGAACTGCAGGGTGGACACAGGCTGTATATTATTCCGTTAAACATTCATATAAATTAAAAGATATCATCTAGAAAATCTGGTATAATAGCTGATAAATACTTAGATTTAGTATATGTCTCTTCAATCCGAATGGTTAACAAACGGTAGACTTTCTTTCAGCTCTGAGGTTAAGTATTCCTTTATTGTAAATTACATATGCATTTCAGGCCTCTTCAGTGTAAATTCTACACAAAATTTAAAAACAAAAACTCAATTTCCAAAATTTTTTTCCGGTGTAAAGATGTTTTTTAAAACCAACATTAAATTCTTTTTCATACCTCAGATGGTTGAGTAACACACTTTAAAAAATGTATGACATCAACAATGACATTATTACCAACGAAACACATGAATAACAATCGTATATGAGTATAATTCCCAAACCTTAAAAACAGTAAATATCTATTATTATCTTACATATTATTATCTATTATATTATTACGCATTATATTATTACATATTACATTTTTTACAATTTACATTTTTTTAATTATACAAATTACATTTACAAGTACAATTTAAAAACACCACAATGTTTTAGTTGTTTCTATTTAGAATTAAATGATTTTGTTTTGAAACCACAAAAAAAGGAAGTAGTATAAAATATACATACGTGCTTATTTTTAATCCATGGTCTTACAATTTTTTACTTCATATGACACATTTGTTACAGTTTAAGTCACGCCCTCTATTACATTATACCCTTATTACAGTTTAAGTCACGCCCTCTATTACATTATACCATTGTTCATCAATCTGCATACCATTCGATAAATTTACTAGATTATTATTACTATTTTTTATTATTTCAATATGCTCTTTAAATCTGCGTTTATATATTTCCTTTTCATAATGTAATATTTTTATGTTATTCCTGTCAATCTTTCAATTATTAATATTTATGTGATCGAACCAAGGGGAATTGTTATATTTTAATTTTATAGCGGCTTCATGTTCTTTAATTCGTACTTCTAATTGCCTACCTGTTTCACCTGTATAGTTTTTTGGATTTATACAATCACACCTTATTTTATATACAACACCCGATTTTTTTAGTTTGTCTACTTTATTTGTATGTTTTATATTATCAGAATGGATGTTGTGTGAGATTTTATTAATTAAAGACGGGGCCAGGTTAAGGCTCTTATGTCCAACAGATGGCGCTACGAGTACTACGCCCTAAGTTTGCTTTTCTGTGAGGATGAACTACAACACATCATCTTCTATCTATATAAATAAAAATGTAATGTTCGTTTGTTCCTACCGATTTCTTTGAATTTTGATACAATGCTGCATTCGAATACGCACGTGTTTTTATATAATATACATGTCGAAATTCCCTTACTGGGGGGAAATGGACAGAATTAAGGCTTACCAAAAAGAACTCTGCTTCTATTTATACTATTTCAGTTGTAGTTTTTTGCGGTTTTGATTGCGTTTTAATAGGGTTCGTCAACAGAATATATACTAAAAAGGGATTTTTCGATATCCCCCCGCAGGGGAGAGAGACAGGATTAAGTGAAGAACTTGGCTTCTGTTATACTATTTTAGATGCGGTTTTTTGCGTTTTAATAGGGTACGTCAAGGGAATGTACATTAAGAAGAAATTTTTCGAAAAATTCCCTCCTTCCCCACGAGGGAAGTGTTATACATTTATAATAGATACATTTTGAGCCGCAACAACCCGTGACAGGGTCTGCCAGTTTTAAATATTTTTATATATTTCGATGTTTTAACCCACGGGTTCCCAACCTATGGGTCGCGACCCGCAAGGGGGTCGCGACGGGTTTTCTTGGGGTCGCCAACTTATACGGTAAACTAAAAAAATATTCACTATAATGCAATTTTTATTTTTAATGGTGTCTTAAGTTTGAATAATTTCATATATATATACTTTTTTTAAATTAAAATAAGTGTAGTCTAGGTACCCTATTCTGTCACAGTTGGTTGAAACATGTGTTGAGAGTTTGAGAGTAATGGTGAAATGCCTCTATTGTTTGAGGCAATTCATTCGAAACGGAACCGAGAATTTCTTAGAAGGTAAGCAATAAAACGATCAGATGACCATCGAACGAATTTACTCAAACAACATATGTATATAGGTATAGTCTGTTTATTTTCAACAGTCAGAGCTCCAAAACAATATTCAACGAGTGACTGTCACGCGTTCTTTAAAGTATGCTTTGTGATTGGTCGCTTACTATACCAGATGACCCGATGCATACTAATCAACAGGGCAATATTGGTTTGTTGTTCGGGAGGTTCGGTTGGCATCAGCGTTGCCAGATTTGGCTACTTTGCGCCAAATTTCACTATTCTTTTATCAGTTTGGCGTAAAAAATATGATTTGGCGTATTGGCTACTTTTTAGGTTATAGAAATTTGACTCGGCTGCATTCTTGGCTGCATATTACTTAAAAATATATTATTTGAATGAAAATGCACTTTAAAATGGTGTTTCGTCGTTTTTTTTTTCAATTAGAGACCCAAATAAAACAAATATTTGTGTTTTTCAAATAAAATTTTGTTTGTTTCCTTTATAATAAATGAATTTATTTATTTCTAAGTAAAAATTGAAATTGCCTGTAGAAGTAATTTTTTTTAAATATCCTTTTTCGTGATAAAGTTCTAATACTTATTACTATAATCTAGACATGTTAATCCTTAAATAATAAAAGTAGAAAAGATAATATTAATTTTCCTACAGTTATTTAATTTGAAAGTTGACTGAGATTTCTTTATTAGACTACTAATTAAACTAATATGTGCATTTTGTATATATCAATACCCTTCATCAATTTGGTTATTGTTTTTCTGTTTTAAATGATATTTTAAAAGCGATTTTAAATTTTCCTTATGCTATTCTCAATGATAAATTTAATATCTGTTTTTAATATTTGAATTTGTTTTTATAGTGTACTTTCTGTACCGTGGGATGAAGAAATTCTTTATCAATCATTATTATTAATATAGAGTACGTATTGGCTTAATGAAGAATTGTATTTGTCAGCTTTCAAATTAATTAAATAACTGTAGTTTGACACATCATTTGTAATAGCAAATTAATAACTGTTAAAAATATTACATAGAAAAATTAATTTTTTATAGTCCGTCTTGGCAAGATCATTTGTTTCATAATTTGTTGCAATCTACTTTGCAGATAAACTGAATGTTCTCGACATAGTAAATTACAGTGTGCGCATATATTTTGAGTCTTGCCATCCTTATTTTCGATCAAGTTTACATACACGTAAATTTATTGTAATGAAAGTTATTGCTGGAAAAGCACAAATGGTGTGTTGTTTTTTTTATCGTCAAATTTTGGCTTACCAAAAAAAAACGTTTATTATTGGCTACTTTTGGGCTACGTTTGATAAAATTTTGGGCTACAAACACCAAAAACATCTGGCAACGCTGATTGGCATGTGCAAGGGGTATGTAGCAACTAGAAATACTTACTTTAAATTTTCAGAAATGTATAAATTATTTTATGATGCTATGGGAACGATAACATCAGAAATATAGAAAAAATGCGTTGAGCATTTTAAAGACAAGGTTGAAATTAATATATGACAGTTAGACAATGTGATAGAATTAAATAATGAATCATTTTTAATTAATTTAAACGATGAAAGCGACAGCGATTCCTCGAATTGATTTTATTTACTTTTAATTATTTTTAATAAGTTGTTTTATATTTAGTATTTAAAATATGTTTTATTTATAATCCTTGCCTTTATTATTAGTTTTTACCTTTTTTCTAATTGTATTTGTTTTTAAAATTAATAAGGTGTTTTATTTATTTTTAAAAAATCGAATATTTCTTCCCATTCAGCCCTGTCTTTAGCGATCACGTGATTCCTGCGTGCATTTGTTATTGTCGGCTGACTCTTAAAAATAAACAGAATATAGAAAGTCTTTCAGAATATTTTTAGTCTTATTGAACACTTCGTAAAGGAAGCATCGTGACGTTGTGGATTATTTGTGACTAAACAGACAGTGGTGACTATTATTTTCACATTTAATTCGTTTAGTTTTTATATTATTATTTACATGGCGTAAAATTATTTAGAAATTTCGTTTATTCTTTCCCCAGAAATGGAAAAAAAACGTAAATATTCAGAAGAATATCTGAAATTTGGCTTTACTAACTTGACTAGCAATGGAATAGAGAAGCCACAATGCGTATTGTGCAAAGTTGTTCTCAGCCATGAATCTATGAAACCTTCAAAACTCAAACGTCACTTAGAAACGAAGCATTCAGAACACACTAAAAAAGATTTGGAGTTCTTTCGTCGACATGAAACTAGTTGCAAACGTCAGAAACTTGATCGAACAGGAAGTTTTCAGCAAGAGAGCACAGCATTAGTGCAAGCATCGTATGAAGTCGCATTGGAAATTGCTAAGCAAAAAAAACCTCACACAATTGGAGAAAAGCTCATCAAACCCTGTATGTTAAAGATGGTGAAATTAATTCTTGGAAATTCTAGTGAAGTAAAGATGCAGCGAATATCTCTGTCTAATAATACTATTCTGCGGCGTATATCAAACATGTCCGTAGACGTTAAAGAACAGATTTTGAATGAAATCAAGGTTTCACCATTGTTTTCGTTTCAAGTTGATGAATCAACAGACATAAGCTCGTGTTCCCAGTTGCTTGTCTTCGTGAAATATATTCATTCAGATGATATCAAAGAAGAGTTTCTATTTTGTAGTGAACTTGAAACTACTACAAAAAGTGAAAGTTTTATGGAGAAGATAAATACGTTTTTTGAGACTGGAGGATTAAAGTGGAAAAACGTCTGTGGAGTTTGTATGGATGGTGCACCATCTATGCTTGGGTCAAAATCGGGCTTTCAGAAAAAAGTAAAAGAACTAGCTCCCCAAGCAAGGGGAATCCACTGCATGATTCACCGGTATGCCCTTGCCAGTAAGACTCTTCCAACTCCTCTGCAAGAGGTACTTGATTCGCTAATAAAAATCGTAAATTACATCAAATCTGGAGCTCTTAACACCCGTCTGTTTAAAGAACTGTGCAAAGACATGGATTCTGATCACGAGGTTCTACTTTTCTACACTGCAGTACGCTGGTTGTCGAAAGGAAATGTGAATCGTGTCTTTGAATTGAGAGATGAAATCAAGTTGTTCCTGGAAGTGCAAGGGAAACATGACCTTTTGGTTTACTTTAATGACAAAGCTTGGTTGAAAAGAGTAGCATATCTAGCAGATATATTAGAACAGCAAAATAGGCTTAACCTTAAACTTCAGGAAAAGGAAACGAATATTATCGCAATTCATGATAATCTCAGAGTATTTTTATCCAAGCTGCAAAACTGGCGAAGAAAAATAAATCTTGGGAACATTGCCATGTTTGAGAAACTCTGCAGTGTGGTAGATGAATCTGAAGGTGAAATAAATAAAAATTTGAAAGAAGAGATTACTGGGCATCTCAAATTCCTTGAAAACGAACTCCAACGTTACTTCCCTGAGCTGAAAGAAGAAGAAACTACATTTACACAAAATCCATTCTCTGCTTCCCTTGATGTAGCCAGCATTCCCGATGAATTACAAGATGAATTCTTGGATTTGCGGAATGATTCCTCGGCACATAACTTGTTTAATGAAAAATTGCTCACACATTTCTGGTGTGATATGTATCATTCATACCCAAATGTGATAATGCTTGCTTTTCGAGTTTTAGTCCCATTTGTGTCTACATATCTCTGCGAAAGTGGATTTTCAACTCTTCTTCGTTTAAAACCAAAAGAAAGAAATGAATTAAATGTTGAGAATAACATGAGGTTGGCGTTAACAAAAACTCACCCGCGAATTTTGAGGCTGGTTAATAACATGCAATTTCAACCATCGCATTAAATTAATTAATTATTAAACATAATGTATAATAAAATTGTACTAAAAAAACTAATTTCGTTGTCTTTTTAAATTACCTATGAAAAATGCCTTTTTCAATTGTATCGGGGTCGCGGGTCACTTGGCTTTTATAAAAAGGGGTCGCCACCCGAAAAAGGCTGGGAACCGTTGTTTTAACCTAATGTTCGAACCGTTTTAAATCGCTTTGTCTCTGCTAACCGTTAGGCCTTAAAATTGACATATTTTCAAAAGATCCATAAAATATATCAAGAATTCGCTTCATGGTTGAAAAACTGCACTCAACACATGCACTCATACCGTAAAAATTAATATTAAATCATATAATTCTCTTATCTGAGCAACACATTCTTATTTTTAACACGTAATTAACTGTTTTGTCACTTCGAAAAGCTGGAACCACGGTTTGACGAACTTTGATAGTTACGCTTTCGTAACATCGTAACGTCCTACACTTAAAACCGAGTTTATATTTGACAACGACGATTTGTTTTTCGATATAAACTTCGTAAAAACAAATAAAATAAGAAATAACCGAATTATTTAAAATTCAGACTAAATGCTTATAAAACAATAAATGAATTATCTAAATTTAGAAACATCTACGTTTCATATAACTAATCTCTCTACTTTTAAGATGTAAAGTTATATAACAAAAATATATAAATTACTGTCTGTAAGATGTGCAACTAACACTACATAGGAACTTTTTGTTTGGAAATAAAATATTTTATAACAATAGACGGGACATGTATTAGAGCAACGCTTATCGTACCTTGTGTGTTCACACATGCATTTAAAGTTTTTTTTTTGTCATATTGTTTAGTCTGCTACGTATATGTGACACGTTGTTTCCCCTCATTCAGCTTTTCTTCGTGTTACATCGAACTGTATATTTCTGTGTGTCGTTAGATTCGTGTATTTGCATCATTTTTTGACAAACTTCATATTTACAAATTCTCTTAGTCCAGAGTTAGCGAACCTTTCACTTCGCGTACAGAATAGTAAGCATACTGTATGTTTAAAAATGTTTATGCATGCCAAAGGTTTAGAATAACAATATTCAAAGGAATGAAATGAATATTGTTATTATAATCTTCTATTCCTTTAATTATACCGTAATAAACGTAACGGAGCCAATTGAAAAACGATAATCGGATGATAAACCGAAATCGCGTGATAAGTTACATGCCAGATGATTTCTTCCGATGTGACATGGGTTCTTCGCCCGTTCTACGCCTACGGATAAGTTTTTTTTTTTTTTACGTTAATTGAATTTGAAGCTATAGAGCAGTGTTTCTCAACGGGGGCGATATCGCCCCCATGTGGGCGTTTTTCCATGTTGAGGGGGCGATTTGTAACAATTTATATTTTGGGGGCGAAAAACAATTTTCTGGACGATATAGTAAAACATTATATTAAGAATAATTAGATATTTTATTCGTTATATCGTACAATAATTAAACAAATAACATTATACTAGTCACTAGTTCGTTCAATGCAGTACGAATTTGGCGTTAGCCTTGGCCCTCGGCATCGGAATTTTGAAGTGAAGGGGGCGATACTACGTTGAAGGGGGCGACGATTCGTTAGAGGTTGAGAAACACTGATCTAA